ATCGCAGTTACGCGTAACTGCGTCGCAGTTTTTCGCAATTACGGGTCACAGTGCGATCGCAGTTACGCCGTAACTGCGACGCAGTTTGACCGCAGTCGAACACATGGGGGATGATGGTGCATCATAGGATGGAGCGTATTATCGTCGGTCTATTCTGACAGAAAATGTCATTCCATTTCTTTCTGATCCCAAAAATGTATTAGATCCGTCAGAGGTAGTTTATCTTCATGACAATGCTTCGTGTCACAAAGCAAACGCCACTCAAGCATTACTCAAAGATTCCGGAGTTGGTTTCTTTGACCGGACACAATGGCCAGGAAATTCTCCCGATCTAAACGTAGCAGAAGATGTTGGATCAATCCTCATGGATAAGGTGGAAAGCTTGATGATCGAGGAGCACGGTGCTAATCAAAATTCTGAAGTGGTTCTGCTTCAACATCTTCAAAATGTTCTTCATGAGCTTGAAAATGAAACGAAACTTTTCGAGAATCTATTGAAATCGTATCCTCGACGATTAAAAGCTGAACGTGAAGCCAATGGCGGTCACACAAAATACTGATGTATTGTTTCTTTTCAGACAAAATAAAGGTTCCAGCAGAGACACTACTCAAAACTATTCCACTAGTAATTAATTTTGTAGTCTTCTATCAAAAAGTTATGCTGAATCCTATATTTTGACGATTGAGTATTTGTACGGATTCACTTCCATATTCGCAATTTCAAACGGTAGCCTTATCTATCGAAATAATGACTGTACATCTGGATCCAGTTTTTCACGGGCTTTAATCTGGTATAAAATTCATTAGGTACTCAACTCGAAATCATAGTGTTACCCCCCTAGCAAAAGGTTATGCACAACCCGATATAAAAGAGAGACAGTTTCAATACCCATGAAACTCGAAAATAAGACAAACTTCATATATAACTGGCTGCCGGTTGACTATAATCTTCAAATTATGTCAAAAGCATATTTTAATTCAATTAATTGATTAAAAAAATGCTGTTTGTCACAAATTAAGCTTCAAAATTTCTCGGAAAATTTAGAAAAAAAGAAAGTTTTTCCAATGACTTTCTGGACGTCCAGGTTAGCTCGACCCCCCCCCCTCCCCTCCTGTCCAGTTTTGTCCAGTTTTCGCTGACCCCTCCCTCCCCCCTTTACCTGGACGTCCTTTATGGATGGCCCCTTACCCAAAATATTGTTAGAATGTTTTTGTTTTCGTCTAGATATTTTTCTTGTTCGTTGTGATGCATCAAATTGATCACGTACAAAATTAACAAATACAGTATCAAGTGTATTCTGTGACACGCTATAATCCATTATATGTTCATTAATTAATAAATTTTCAAGTTTAGAAAAAATATCTTTTAATGAAACATGTATTTCAGCTATCTCATATTGTAATATATTTAAATGACGTTCTTTTAAAATAAAATTTGACGAAAAACAATTCTTAATTGTTTGATTTAATATTGAATTTGATGAAGATTGTAAAAGAATTTTTATTGTATAACCATCACCGAAACGATTTTTTAAATGTTGAGTTGAACCAAGACAACGAAAACAACCATTTACCATAATTGCAATCGATGAACAAAGAACTTCACATTCTTCCATACTAAAAAAATTTCATTTTACAATATCAAAATAAGAAAACTTCATATAGAATCGTGTATTTCGTCAAATAATCGGAAAAAAATTCTAGAAAACTAATAAAAGACTTTTTTTTTCTGTTGGGCATTGGATGTATCTACAAGATCAACATATATAGGTTGTTCCAAAAGTTCAACGAAAAAGAAAACGTGAATAGCTGATGAGCTATTTAAGAGATTTCAATATTCCTTTTTTTGTTTTACAGTTTGATAACATATTCATTCAAGTTTTCAGATATAATGTCTGTGTCTAATCATATTCTGGAAAACTGCAGAATAATTAATGAAAAAACAAAGTCAATGAAATTAAGAATTTTTGTAACAATTAGAGATCCGAATGGGCTAGGCTGGGCCGAAAAAAGTCGACCCATGGGTTATTCGACCTTTGGCCCAGCCCATCCATGGTCTGCTTTAAAAAAATGAGCCCAGCCCAGCCCACCCATGGGTGACCCATCTAGTTCAACATTTTTTCATGGAATAGTTTAACTTGCTATGTTCGTCAAAGTTATTTATGATCGCTAACTATTCTTTTATTTTATCATTTTTAATAGCAGTGTGCGTCGATGGATGTTATTTCATAAGAAGTTTGACCTGGCCAAATGCATACTGTTTTTGTCTATGATAGGAATCGATAGAATGGTAGGAGATAATAGAAATTGATAATTGAGAAAGATCAGTAGGAATAGAAGTAGATTTTATAAAAGGTGATTGATGGTGATGCAACGGTTGGTGAAAGAAAAAAACGACGGAATTATATTGTGTCGAATAAAAACAAAGTATTATAACGTGAAATAAAAGAACTAAACAAGATTCGTCGAGGGAAGAAACATCACAGTAATAATAGGCGATGTTTCCTGAGAAATTTTGTTTTTAATCAAGGTCGAAATTCGGCCCATAGGTTATCATCAACCCATGGGCCAAAGCTCGTAGCCCCTGGGTACCCATCGAAAAATTGAATCGGCCCAGCCCCTTCGGGTCTCTGGTAACAATGAACCGCTAACAACTATTCGATGTATTACACAAGCTTGCTCATTACTACAAACAACACTATACAGAATTGTGATGAAATGTCTCGTATTAAAATCATATAAGGTACAATTTGTTCAATAGTTCTACGAAGCAGAGTTACATAGACTGAACACTGGTACATACTATTTTATAATACTGGCATATTCAAATATGATCACAAGTAAAACTTGAATGAATATGTTATCAAACTGTACAAAAAAAACAAAAATATTTAAATTCCTTGAGTTACCAAGGACCTATTTACGTTTTTCTTTTCTTCCTTTGGAACTTTGGAATATACCGTATGGTTTTCGATGGTATCTGGATATATTTCACTAAATTCGAGGTAGTAAGTATTATATTCATGACAACACTTAATCTATTACGATTGATAAATTTAATTGAAATAATTATTCTTTTCTTATTATTTTTAAATAATAATATTATTTTTGAAAATATTTAAAATAAATTTACCTATGTGAAGTAAGTATAATTGATTTTCCTTCTTTAACTAGACGTCTAATAACATTCCATAAAAATCTTTTTGATAATGGATCCATTCCACTTGTTGGTTCATCTAAAAGTATAACAGATGGATCACCAACAAGTGCCATAGCTGTTGATAATTTCCTTCGATTTCCTAAAGATAATTTTCTAACAGGTATATTTATATATTCACAAAGATCTAAACGTTTTAATAATTGATGAGCATATTGACTTTCATTATACCAATCAATTCCTCTTAAACGTGCCATTAATAATATATGTTCAACAGGTGTTAGTTCATCAAAAAGTGCATCAAATTGTGGACAATAACCAATATATTTAAAAACTTCTTGTCTTTCTTTCATACTATCATAACCATGAATATGAGCATAACCAGCTGTTGGATGAAGATCACCACTTAATATTCGAAATACTGTTGTTTTTCCCGCTCCATTAACTCCACATAAACCCAAACATTCACCTGAACGTATTCCCATACATAAATTATTAACAGCAATTGATTTTTGATGCTTTTTTGTACGATAACATTTAGATAAATTTGACATAATTAATACATTATCATCAATTGTTTTGTTTAAGATTTGTCTACGAATATGTGCAACATCTTCATCTTCATCTTCATCTTCATACACATCTTCATCTAAACGTGAAAATGGTAATGCATCAGAAATTTTTGGTGAATAAAAAAATCCATATTCAAGTAATAATGTTAAAACCAAAAATACTAAACCACATATTGCCATTGAAATTAAATTTGATAATGTTATATCCCAAATAAATGGTGTACGTATACGATGATGTAGACCAGTTTTTTTATAAAATGAATTATAATAATCCTGTTCAAATTAAATATATTATAAATATTTCTAATGAAATGATTTAGTTAACACAATGTTTCAAATCTTCTTATCAAAATCAAGTTTAACTTAATGTTTATATTTAGTCTGTTAATGATAATCTGTAGTATATTTTAGAATAGATTAGTAGCGGAGCCAGGATTATGAGCTGAGGAGGCTCAGCCTCCTTTGAGCCCTCTTGGCAAATAAAATACGTACTTTAAAAATTTTCCTGAGAGGAACGCAAATGTTTCTAAGAGGAACTGAGCCTTCCAATCATCCCCGGATTCCGTCACTACAGTAGATAGATTCAAGAAGTAAATAATTCTTTTATTAATCCTTTGAGTACTAGTGTACTTTATACAGTACATTTGTTAATGTTTCTTAATTTGGAATAGCTGCCCAATGCGAAAGGATATCAAGATGCGGTTTCCTCTATGGCATAGAAGAGGCTTCGATGAATACATCCATATGAGAATTATAACTTTAATAGGATAACTCAAGTAGTAATCCTGATGAATTTCTATAGCACTATCTTGAAAAGGAGGACAGATGAACCTCTTTCGCAAAACACAAACTATTTTGGTTTTGCACATTGAAATCAAGTTAGGAGAGACTCCTAATGGTATTTCAAAGGTTGAATTTGCAATAACTCTCAATCGAATTTCGACTCACATCCGTACCTTCCTACGGCGATGGCTTCGCCACCCCCATGGGAGAGTACGAGCATAGAGTCGAAAATGACGTTAAAGATTTTTTTTAACAAGCTTTGATGAAAATATGCACAATACACACTGCTCATGTTAAATATGAAATTTTAACGAAATTCCGTTCATTGTTTAAGCTATGATCCTCAAAGGGTTAATATCGAATGATGACTTGAAAATTTATTTAGTAATAAACTTTAATAAGAATAGTATTGAATAAAAAAAAAGACAAACGAACAAACGATTTTTTTTTCTGAATCAAATGAACTTACATTATAAGCAATATCAATTAAACCTCTTGCCAAACAATAATTTGGAAAAATTTTAAATATTCTTTTCACTATACTTGTAATAATAGTTAATGTTGATGTAGATGGACTATTAAATGTAAATATTTCAAGAAAAAAAGATGTATATGTACATGTTATTCCACTAAATAAATTAATAATAATTGAAAAAATATATGCATTAGTTGGTTCAGTAAATTGAAAACTAAATAGATACATCACAGGAATCACTGACCAACCATACGTAAGAAGTAAACTAATAACAGCAAGAAAATTTTCTCCTTCAACATAAGCCGGTACATTAAATAAACGTAAAATAACTATTACACAAGTAGCAGGTAATAGATAATTAAAAAGACCCCAAACACAATTTGTTAACCAATAAACTAATGGACAAACACCATTTATATATTGAATATGTTTAAGTTTTGTTGAACGTTCATAAACAAGAAATAATGTAAATGATGCTGAAACAAATGACATTGCAACAATTATAAAAATTGATATAACAACATAAGATCCTCGTAAAATAAAATGTATTGATATTATATTATTTGTTTCATTCATTGGATCTAAAGTTATTTAAGAATAAATATTTTCTTCTTTATAATTTATATAAAAAATTCCTTTTTTTCCTCAACGATACAAATTTAAAGAACGAAAAAGAGAAAACATTTCACAAGAAGGTTCGTTAGTCATATTTCCAATCATCTTTATTATTATTGAAGAGAAAAATTCAAAGAAACAAATTTTTTCAATTTTTAGAGGAGTACTTTGAATAAGCTGAGATATTAATCAGCGATGATGGCTATAAAAATCTTAAGGATATCCCTTCCTTTCCTCGACCAAAATTTTTGGTTTTTTTGTAGCCATTGTATAGTTTGAAGTAGGGTCTATCTACTGACTATATTTTGGAAGCCAACAATAGCCTTTACAAATTAAAAAATTAGAGAAGAAATCAAATTTTTAGTTGGTAAAGTACTGTTTCGTCCTCGTTTCTCTGTCATAGTAAGAGGGATCGAGCTGGAACTTTTTTCACATATTCTACTAACTACTTGGAGTGCGTTTTTTTTTCTTCTCAACAAAATATTGCTGTGGTGGTTTTTGGCAGCTTTCACAAAATTTGCTCTAGTAATAAAAACAAGCATCTTTTAGGGTAGGGTCTGTATTTTGACTTTTTTACCCAAACGACAAAAGATAAAAAGAAACCAAAAAAAAATAGGTACCCCAAACAGTGTCTAGTGCCTGTAAACAAATTTTCAGCTGAATTGAAAATACCATCTTGGAGAATTGGAAGCGAACCTAGGGTGATTTTTTGCCATTATGACCCTATTATCTCATAGAAGACAGCATCAGAGAATTTTGAGTCTATGACAACTTTTGCTGTACTTAGCAAGATCTATTTGCCCGGAAAATTTCAAATTTTTCTGATGAGCCGTTCTCAAGAGACCACGGAAAAGGGGGGTTACCCTTAAGTGTCGGTTGAAAATGTTTAACGGTTTCATTTTTTTTAACTTTGGCGATAGTGATCGCTGAAATTTTAGAAGAATCAAATCATTCGTTTAGGTTGAAATTTTATGGAATTTCTAATAATTACTTATTCAGTCTACAGATAAAATTATACTAAAATCATAAATTTGAGAAGAACAAGGTATCTATATATATAATGTTCAGTGTGGGTCTGTCTGTGTCAGGTCAAAGGTCAAATAAGGCTATAAGAGGAAGGTGCCAATGGCTATTATATGGAGGTACCTATAGGTCCTCAAGGGCTATTATATGAAGGTACCTATAGGTCCTCAAGGGCTGTTATGTAGAGGTACCCATAGATTCTCAAGGGCTATTATATAGAAGCACTCCTAGGTCCTCATGAGCTATAATATGGAAGTATCTATAGATCCTCATGGACTATCCTATGGAGGTGTTCATAGGTCCTCATAGGCTATTATATGAGGGTACCTATGGATCCTCAAGGGCCATCCTATAGGGGACCCCTAGGTTCTGAAGGATGTAAGAGACTAAAGCGATAAGGCTACAAGAGGTACAAGAGATATAAGGCTATAAGGACATAAGGCTACATGGACTATAAAAATATGTGTGATATACACCCCTGGGCAATAGTCTTTCCTCACATCTTTTTTTTTCGGCAAGGTTTTCTCTGCTATCATAAGGACAAAACATGGTGTTGTTCGGGCCGATTATGGATTATTTGAGTTCTCTTTTATATGGCCCGAACCACACCATGTTTTGTCCTTATGATAGCAGAGAAAGCCTTGCTGAAAAAAGAGGTGAAGGGAAAGACTTTTGCCCAGACGTGTAAGAGTATGAAGCCGTAAGGCTTTGATCTATATACATAAAATCGCGCATCTGTATGTCTGTTATCGGATGAAAAGTTAAACGTCTGAAGTCATACGTTAAAGGAGAAACCAGCCATGCAGCATGTACGAGTTCTCGCTAGTGAATATAAATCTTTTTATTTCTATAAAACAAAAAAATATGTTTTGTATTCTTACGATTATATGTAGTAATTCCATAAGCAGAAGGAAGACCCTTTTCAATAGGTAAATTAGCTCGAAGAATGGCATTTGACATAATATTAATATATAACGGTAAACTATGATAACCTTTATGATTAGTAAATATTCTTGCAATATTTTTTATAGCTAATTTATGTAATATTTGATTATATTTATTGATTGGATAATTATTTGGAACATAATCTTGTACTAAACCAAAAGATAGACCACCATAACGATCTAAATGATGATTATCTGCTGTATATAAATAATAAAGAATTTCATTTTTTTCTTTTGTTATATTTAATATTCTATCATTTGTTATTAAACGATTTACTTCCGGTTTAGGAAATGATGAACATATTTGTCTTGATTGACTTGTTGAACATTGACAAGGTTTATAATATTTTTCATTGAAAGATTGATCTGGTTGATAAGTTCGATTGAAATATGTTTGATTATTTTCAAACATGTTTGACCAATTAATTTCATATTCTGAATAGGAATTAAAATCATTATGATAAACTTTGTCACATGATAAACCAGTTAAATTATCAAATGTTAATCTTGTTATATTTATATATGGATTATTAAGTAAACATGTTGAACCAATACCTGATGGATATCGAATTGTTTCAACTAAATCATATGGATTTGCATTTAATCTTGATATTTGTGAAGAATTTCCTAATTTATAATCATTTAAACCAGATACAGGTGTATATAAATAATTTAAATTTGAAAACATTGACGTTGATAATAATACTGGAGGCAGATCAGCAAAACCTGGTGCATTTAATGCAACAGACATTGCAATAGTTATAAAAAATGCTGGTAATAATACTTGTGTTGCTAAACTACGCATATTACGATAATTAAATATAAAACATTTTATTATTATTGATAAGATTTGTTTTGCATAAAGACGTGTTCCAGTTAGACGATCTTAAATAGGCAATAGTTTATAAAAAAAAAAGGAAAAATTGAAAAATATTGCTCATACTTAATTTTGATATTGTTGAATTACTAAATATAGAGAAAAAATTAATAGAAAAAAAAAAGCAAATTTCTGATTGAAATAAAACTTACGATGTTGATGAAGTTTCTGTAATATTTCCTTGTGCTTTATTATTATAATTAAATTGAGCTTCAATTTCATTGGCATTGGGTGATTTTTTATATTGTTCTGTAACTTTAAGAAAAACTTCTTCCAATGAAACATCTTGTAAACCATAACCAGTTATGGATAAGAATTCTTTTCGTGAATCAAGTATGGAAAAAAGTTTCGGAAATGAATAACGATTTTTTAATGGTAAAACATATTGAAGTTCCCTTAAAAGAATTATTTTTTCATCAAGTTAAAATTCATCTTTCTTCAACTAACTTTCTTATCTCTTCTTTAAGATATGCCTTTGGTATACATTGTGTTATTGTCAATGTAACATCATCCTTTGAAGCCATCCATGGATCTATATAACAAAAAAAAAAGAGGTTGCTTAATGGTATTCTCAACTTTTGTAATCCAAAATTTTTTGTTTCATTATATAGTCTGAAGTATTGCCTAAATAATGAATGATGGTTTTCTCGAACAAAATTTTTCATGAAAAAAACAAAAGTATAAAGAGGCTCGCGTTTCTTGCCTAATCGAACTGAAATTTTTTCAAATAGTTTATACTCCGTTTGGGATGGGTGTGGGTGTTGCTAAACATACGATAGACTCACACCCACACCTGTTCTCCAAAAATGTCGGATATGGAAGGAAGCGGTAACCAGAGATGGACCCGATCTACCGGCAATCGACCAGTCTAACGGCAGCCGATCGGTCTACGGGTAACTCGTGACACATCGATAATTCATAGTTAGAAAAAAAGTGGTATAGATAGGGCGAACATGGTTTATTGCATGACAAACTTGATGCGCCAGGTTGTATCACATTCCTGATATAGAGATAAAACTAGTCTGAATTTTTGACAACTAGAACTAATTGTGATCTGAATAGGTTAGACAGATCGGTCGGTCTGAGCGCCATACCGGTACTGGTTCCATCTCTGGTGGTAACCTTCAATTAATCATAAAACTAAATAATTTCTCTACCATTTTTAATTAATGTTAAAATATAACCTTCACCAAATATTGATTTAAGAAAAAGTGATGTTCCACAACATTTCAATTGTCCATCTAAATAAAAGATAAAATATAATTAAAGAGATATAAAAAAAAAAAATCTTACTTGAAATAATAGCAATTCTATCTCCAAGAATATCAGCTTCATCCATATGATGAGTACTTAATAAAATAGTTCGTCCTCGTTTTAATTTCAATAATAATTCCCATATAGCACGTCGTGAATATGGATCAATACCGGCTGTTGGTTCATCAAGAATGACTGTTTTTGCATTACCAACAAAAGCCCTTTTGAAAAAAAACAAAAAAAAAAAAAGAAACTTACATTTGAATGAAGAATAAAAAATGTCCAGACATACATTGCGACAGATAATTTTCTTTTCATTCCACCGGATAATGTTGAAACTATTGCATTACGTTTTGATGTTAAACCAATATCAAATAACATACTAAATAAAAATAAATAACTCTTTTTTGTTTTTGTTTTTCTATTTAAAAGAAAAAATTTCTTTATTTACTTTTCAATCATATTGTTCATTTCTATATTTTGAACTTGTTTTAATTTTGAAACAAATAATAAATGTTCTTCAACTGTTAATTTTTCAAAGAAAAGATTCTATTCATAAAATCAAATATATAAATATATATAGATATGAAAATATTCTATGTACATGTTGAGAACACCATCCAAGATTTTTTCGTATTTTATCTATATCAATATTTATATCTTGATTATAAATTGTTGCTGTTCCAGATGTAGCTGGAATTAGACCAATTAAAATTGACCTGAACAAAGATTCTTTTTTTTTTTTCGTGTTTTAAAAAGACTTTCATTTGTGAATATTTTATATTAACTTACATTGTTGTTGTTTTTCCAGCTCCATTATGTCCAAGAAGTGAAAGTATTTCACCTTCATATAAATCTAATGATAAATTTTGTACAGCAAATTTTTTTCTATCAAAAATTTTTGTTAAATTTCTTAAGCGAACACCAATTATTTGATCATTTAAATGTTCATTATCTTCGAAATAATCTAAAAAAAAAAATCATAAATTCCCATCATTTATACTGAAAGCTTTTTTTTTTAAATATCTATAATCATACTTTGATTTCTAGTAGAATCAATGATTATTTGATTTAATGATGATGTTGAATAATCAAATCTATCATACATATGACATTTTTTACATATAATCCATCTAAATAAATTAATTTCTTTGAATTTTTTTATCCAATTAGGTTCAATATATGTTTCTCCAGTCCAATAACTTATCGTAAATGGAAAGTACCACTTCTTTGGTATTCCATATGCACCTTAAAAATAAAATTCATTAATATTATTTGAAATTTCTTGGAAAAAAAAAAGAACTTTTCCAAATACCTGGATAAATATTTTCAATATACCACATAAGAATAAGATAAATACATGTATCCACTAACATAAAAAGGATAGTTTCAAAACAAGTAAAATGATCATCTTCAACTGGACTATATCGAATATTATCAAAGTGAATTCCTGTACCAATATTTTCATAAAATGCAATATATTTAGTTCCCATACCAAAAGCACTTGTAGAAAATAAAGACTAACAAAAAAAAACAGATCACAATAAAAATTTTCCTTCTCATTAATTTAATTTAATATTTTCTTTCAAAACTTACAGCTAACATTTTAGCCCATCTTGGTACTGTATCTTGTGCTAAATCTTCTCTTATTTTTATGTACATACATGGCACATAGGTTAAGAAATATATAATTCCTGAACAAGCAGCAGCTATTTTAGCTTTCGAATAAAAAACACTAACAAGAAATCTAAATAATAATTAATAAATTCGATTTCATAAAATATAAATATATAAAAGAAAAGAAAAAATCTATTTTTTTAAACATACGCAAGACTAATTGTCGAAAGAGCATAAATTTCAAAGAAAATAAATATTAAAAATGGATTTGAATACATAAGAACTTTTCCATAATGTAATATTATTGTTATAGCAATAATAACAATAGTTGTTTGACTAAATATTGTTATAAACCATGCCATCCAATATACACTATTACTTAAACCCATAATTTTCATAACTTCTTTTAAATGAACTTCTTTTTCATAAACTATACATTGTGTTAATATTGCAAATGCATATATCCATGATATTGTTAAACATAATGGAAGAGCATGTTCAATCATTTGAAGAAAACTAAACAATTTATTTTTATACTAATTAAAATAAACAAATAAATAATGTACTTGTCATATATGTAACAAGGATAACTCATTTCTTGAAAGAATAAACCAGGTTCAATTACTGGTCGACCAACTTGAGTATCAATTATTGCACGATCAATTATTTCCTAAGAAATATATTTAAAAAAACACATTGAGTTTATTCATAGATATGATTAATAGATAAAATAAACAGTAATTGTATATCTCATTTTATTTAAACTATGACATTTTTTGATTGTATAGAAAAATTCTAGGCTCAAAAATTAGCCAAATTTCTATCATATTAGAAGGACGTATCTTTTCTCGAAAGAAACTAGAAAGGTATACGAAATAAATCGTAAATCTGTTGTTCTATTTGAACTTTAATACAGCTTCAAACTCGATGAAAATTTTACAGAATATTTTTCTCTGTCTGACACGTCTACTCAGTTACTGTAAAGATGCACAAACGTTTCTAGATTGAGATACAAGTTTTCTAAAAAAAAATAGCCTTCGTTTTTAAGTTTTACTATGTTCTTTTTTCTCAGTGGTACTTTCAGAGAATAATGAGGACATATTCGAAATTAGAGTAGAAAAATTGTATCGAACAATGTGTGATTTGTTATTCTTTAAATTAATCTTTTGTGAAACAGGGTCTGAAAGGAGTGTTGAAGTGTTTAGGGATAGAAATTTGCACCCCCTTCCCCTCTCCCCAACAGATCGTGACAGGCAAGGCTCTGGATCCGTCACAGACAAGGTTCTGGACCCATCATAGACTGTGACAAACAAGGCTCTAGATCGATCACAGACCGTGACAGGCAGGTCTCTGAACCTGTCACAGACGGTGACAGACAAGGTTCTGAACCCATCACGGCCCGTGATAGACAGGCTTTGGATCCGTCAATGACCGTGACAGACGGGACCAAAGGGTCATTATAGACTGTGATAGAAGACTTCAAGAAAATATCAGACATAATGCATAACTAACATATGATTGGAGCATATATGAAGTATTATCTAGTTCAAAGTCTATAATGTAAGGTAAAGCATTATGAAGGAATGTACTCCAATATGCATAAAAAAGCAATAGCTTTTAGAACATCGACTATAAGTGAGTAGATCGTGTTTCACATTTTTAACCCTTTACCCCCCACAGCGATTTCAGAAGAGCCACCGATAAAATAACTATACAAATAGAGTACTAGCGTACCTAGTATGATAATTATGTGGTCTGATTGACCAAATCTTTATCTCCTTGTGTAGCACCATTTAATAGGTCAGTTAACTGTGTGATGGGGCAAGAGGATGAAATGACTTGTTAAGCATTGATTTGTTTTTCTTTAACCACATTATTGAATGAACAAAAGTAACATACATCCTATCTTACTGGACTAATGGAAAACAGAGAGAATAAAACGATAAAAATTAATGTCAAAAGAATGCATGTATTTTTAGCACATGTTCTTAAATAGGTTTCTACTTTGCTTTGAGTCGTTTACTAACTTCTGAAGATATTCAATTCAAAACAAATACTATTCTGACTTTTCATGAGCTAAGCTTTATAATACATATATTACCATTTCTTTTAGCTGTCCTAAAGATGCCTCATAAGGGCTCCTTTGTCACTCATGTACGTTAGTGTGTGGATTTCGCCAACTTATCGCGATATATGCAAAGCACATCTAACTTTCTAGTAGACAGCTTCATCAATTTATGTCACACAGAAAATCCGAAAGTTCTTTATCTACTGTAAGTAGAGAACGATTTGTGTCGAAAAATTCCATTTTTTTCAGTTTTTCCAAAATTACCGATTTTGTTGGCTTAATATTTCAAAAATGGAATGATGAAAAAACTTATTATTTTTATCAATCGATAGCTCATACAGTTCACTACAAAAAATGCTCTTACGGTTTTCAAATTCCATGCTTCCTTTATTTTCTGCAATCATTCTACAAAATGGCTAATCCATTGGCCATTGGGGGGGGGGGGGGGGGGGG